AATTGTTTAAAAATTAATATTTTTTTTTTTAAATAATTTTTTTCTAAAAGTTTAAGATCTTCTGCGTAAAAAACATTCTTAACATTTTTCTCTATTTTTAGTAGAGAAAAATTTATAATTAAAGCAAAAAAATATTGCTCAAATTTGTTATTGTAAATATCTGAACACAAATTCCCGGAATTCAAAATTCCGGGCAAAAAAGTTAAAACATTTTTAAACCTTAAAATTAAATAGAAATATATTTTTTCAAAAACTCCAAATTCTGGGCAAGAAAAAAATTTTCTTTTAAAAATAAATAAATAAATTTTAAATCAGATACTATCGTTTGTGGTATAATTATATATATTTCAAAATATTGAAAATGGAAAACTTAAATTTTTTTATTATTTATTATTTTTGAAAAAATTTAAAATAAACAAAATTTTTTTCAAATTACTCTAAATTTCTGCTATCCGAAAAAAAACAATTTTTTAATGAAATTGCGTGACACTTAAAATTTACAAATTAAAACCCAAAATGTTATGAGAAAAGAAATTTTTAATTTTTTCAAAAATTCGAATTTTGAAAAATCCAAATTTTTACTGAATTGTTTTTGACTTGAAGAATTAAAAATTCCTAATAAACTTTTTAATTTTAACTTTTTAATAAATTGAATATTTTTCGAAATCTACTACAAGTGTTCCATTTATTATTTAAATTTATTTGGCATTTTTTTGGGCAAAAAAATATTTTTTCAGAAATTTTTGGTCAATAATTTTTGTTAATATTTTTGTCACAATTGAGCAAAAAAACATAATTTGATACAATATCAGTTTTTTTAAATGTTAAGTTTAGGCGTTTTAAAAATGTTTTTTAATTTTTTTGCCCGAAATTTTGAGTTTTTCAAAAAACGAATTTGTTTACAAAAGACAAGAAGTTGAGCACAAATTAAGTTTTTCAAGAAACGAAAAAAAGAACAAGTTGAGCATCAATTGGCACAATATTTGAGGGGCTGATAGTAAAAATGGTTTAAAATAACATTGGGAGCAAAAGTGGGATAAGTGACTTGGGAGCAAAAACGGGTTAAAATGATTCGTGTAATTTATTGATAAATTCATTATATTATCGATTAAAAAATATTAATTATAATAAAATATGCATTTCTTCCTATTGTTAATATTTTTTAATCGATAATATAATGAATTTATCAATAAATTACACGAATCATTTTAACCCGTTTTTGCTCCCAAGTCACTTATCCCACTTTTGCTCCCAATGTTATTTTAAACCATTTTTACTATCAGCCCCTCATTTTTTTTTATTTCAATTTTAGGCTATTTTAAAAGTTTTTTTAAAAACTTTTTTGCCAGTAATTTTGATTTTTTCAAAAACCGAAATTGTGCATAAAAGAAAACAAGGCGAGTACAAATTGACACAATATTTTTTTTAAATTTTAATTTTAGACAGTTTAAAAAAGTTTTTTTTGACTTTTTTGCCCGGAATTTTGAATATTTAAAAGAACGATATTGTACACAGAAGAGAACAAATCGAGGACAAATTTGACATTTTTTTAAAAATTTTAATTTTAGAAGTTTTAAAAATGGTTTTTTAATTTTTTTTCCCCTAAATTTTCAGTTTTAGGCATTTCCAAGAAAAAACGGACATTCTATCCGTGCGTAACGATGATTAAATTTGTCTGTAACTTTTTTTTTGAAATTATTATAAAATAAAATTTTTTTGTTACATATAAGAAAGATAAGGAAATAGAAACGAGTCCAACAGATTTTTTGATTTTATAAGAAAATTGTAAATGGATACAGCCATTTTAGTCATTCTAACGCACGGACGAAAATTCAATTGTTCTCATATGGAAATGCCCTTTTTCAAAAAACGTATTTGTGCACAACAGAGAATAACAAGTCGAGTACAATTTAGCAGAGAATTTGTTTTCTGAAAATTTTATCTTTAGACTTTTTAAAAATGGTTTTCAATTTTTTTTGCCCGGAATATTGAGTTTTTCAAAAAACGTATTTATGCACAAAAGAGAATAAGTCGAGCAAAATTTAGCAGAGGATTTGTTTGTCTGAAAATTTTAACTTTTTTATTTTTAAAAGTTTTTCTGGTTTTTTTTGCCCGTAATTTTAAATTTTCCAAATAACGAATTTATACAAAAGTCGAGCACAATTGGTCATAATACTTGTTTTTTGAAAATTTTAACTTTACTATGGCCGAAGTTCCTGCAAATTTGTATGTGTTTTTTTTCAATTTTTCCTTGCATAAAAAAAGTACCTGCGCCTTTATAACAATTGTTAGACTGTTGATAATTTGCATACAAATGTGCAGCAAAAAAGTTAGTATATATATATATAATCTTAAAACCTTGTACTGTTGCAAAGGTAATTTAACTCTTCTTTTACTTTGGATAAGGGCGCCAAGACTGTCTGGGAATGCCCATCTGAAATCAGACTAAGCAAGATTTAAGCGACACCGCATTATCAAACAATGCGTCCAAGAGCCCGGTACGATAGAGTTGTAGACACGTCTCCTGTCTTTCTCTCTATACAGTCACTTTGCGCAACTGAAAAACACAAGAGCAAAATGTGATAAAAGCCAATCTGAATAATATATACTTGAAAATAGATTCTGGCTTTGTCCCTAAACTGTAAAAATAACAAATTTATATTTCCAATTTCAAAATCATCCTTTATATATAGTGATAATTATATATATAATATATATTTATATATATATCATCGATAAAATCCAGCTATGATAAATTAAAAAAAAAAATCATGAAAAGGAATTCTTAAAGGCAGGAGATCAACGACCCTCGCGACCTTCTTACTTCTGCGATGATCCAGCCGATAAATTCTGCGGCTCCGGCTTTGAATAGAGGGGAACGGCCTTTAACCCTATCTGATAACTTCAATACTGCCTAGGTTTACGCCTGATTTAAGGACGCTTAGAATAATCATCACGTGTCGTGTTTTCGACACGCATGTTAATTAAAACGGTGGCAACCCGGCTGCTGGATACTGTGCAACATTATATTGATACTGTAAAATCCCTCATGTTTATTAATTCTATATATTTATGAATTTTAATAACAAATTTTATTATTCATTTTTATACATTCCATTTTTGAATATAAAAAAATTGATAAATTTTACAAATATGAACCGCAGTCAAAATAAAAATAAAACCTTCAACAAGATGTTTTTTATTTTGATAGTGAATTTTTTTTTTTTTATTCAATTCATTATCTATTCCATTATTGAAAATATTGGAATTATTATTATTATTATTATTATTATGTAGAATTATTTATTCAGTTTTGGAGGCGCATGATTATTCCATATAAATCATTAGTTAGAATTTTAATTTTAAAGAATTTTTATATAATTTAGAAGAAAATATATTTTTCTATGCAACTTTTTGTCTAAAAATTATTTTAATGTTTCTCAATCAACAATTTGTAAATAAAAATGATTTATTGCGATTGGCTAAACTGCAATACGTCATCTGGTGTTTACCTACTTTTGACAACCATTTTCCTTTTTTGTCTTTCTTTAATTAAGGGGTTAAACCACTCTAGAACGTTGAAAAAGACCTCTAGACAATGTTATTAAGAAGCTACAGTTAAATTTTTAGGTAAATCGGTTGAGAATTTTAAAAGTTATGTTTCCGCGCTCTCTAAATCTGAATTAGTAGTTTTCTATTAATGGCGTATTCGTTAACTAATTGAATTAGTAGCAGTTTTGACTAATTTTTAGTAAAAAAAAAAACTACTAATTGCTAGTAGAAAACTACTAATTCATGGAAATTATATGTTTTTAAAATCGTATTTTACCAAAAAAATGGATAATTTGAAAAAAATAATTTACAACACAATATTTAATTGTTCATAGAGCAATTAGAGAGTTATTATGTAGCTTGCCTCACGGCGCAAACATTCTTATACATAGTATATTCACAAAAATTAAGTTCTGACTCATTGTCAGAATACGAGGGGCCCCAGCGCAACGTCACGGAGCAATAAATTACACGATATCGCGATAATCGGCGGAACGCTTTTAATCGTAGGCCTCTTGTATTTACGTATTAGTTTGATCAAATAGTATATATTTATTTATATATATATATATATATTATGCTCTATTTCTCTGAGTTTGTTACTCGATTAAGATCAGCAGGTCTATAAAGTTTATACTATGGATCGAAATTAATCTACATATTTTATAGAAGAGAGTGAATATTAAATAAATAGATGACAAAAATTAAAAAACAAAAGGACTCATTGAGAAATAATTGCCATCATTTTCCATATTATGTCAAAACCGGCTTAAAATTAAGAACAAAGTGTGTGGTATAAATTATTGTTTATCGTTGTTTGCAGCAATAATATCCAGTGGCGCTAATACCCTACGAGAAACCAGATTGGTAGTTGCAATGCTGTTGTGGCTTATTTATAATATCCAAATGGTGGCGCACAGTGCGCGCAAAATTGATAGCCACGCGACGTATTTCGTCAGATATCGCACCGTTATATACGCACAGTGTATATAACAACATAACTTCTCGACTTTCTCGTTTTTCGAGTAATACAAATATATATGTATATATATAAGGAACAAGAATATAAGGTGAAGTGAGACAAAGAGAAAGCCGCATAGCCTTCCGTTGTGAGCAGAAGGAGTTCGTAATAAATCAGATAGCCACTGGAGCTTACTGTCCAAGTCTTGTCAGTCTGCATGCCTGACTATATCAGAGAACGTCTTTAAGTCCATGGTGATGGATCAAGACCATTGATAATCAACACACCAGATTGTTGGCATAACTCGGTGTTATAAGAAATTTCAAGACTGAGACCTCCATGACAACTCAAAACAAGTTTCCGGAAGTCTCGTGTCTTAATTATAATATCATTTCAGCCACACTTTTAATTTAGATCAGTCTAAACTTTTACTCTTTTTTTTTTTTTTTTTTCACTCTGTTGGAATGAAAAATATATTACAAATGCATTTTTTTTCTACACTGAAAGCAAATTTATTTCATTCAATTAGTCGGTTACTTGACTAATATAAGAAAATAAATATTTATTTGTATTACACTTAGAAAATGGAATTCTTAATTTATAAAAATAAAACTCAAAAACTGTGTTAAATTAAATAAAATCGTTCAAACAGATCTCTATGTTTATATTGAATTGTCAATTTCGTTTTTGGAATTACCAAACGGAACACTTCTCTCTAGGATTCATCCTCTTGTTGTTTGAACATTGAAAATCTTTTGCAAATTCTTCTCGGTTGACAAGGGAACCAAGAACTCGAAATTCATTAGGACTGTGATTGTAGATGTTAATTTTCTCCCTCTGTACATCTAAAGTAATTTTCTCGCATAAAGTTTGGGCAAAACTAATCCAAAAGAGCTGAAGTTGTGTATAATTTACACCTGGCAACAAAGCTTCGCGACCATGTTTTTTCACATAGCTCTGATAAGCTAAATATGCAGTTTTAACTCCACCATTATCTGCAGTATTTTCTTTTGCCGTTCTCGTGCCATTTATCTGGAAAATATTACAAAAATAAAGTTCGTACAAATGTTGGCAACTGATTTTTGACGGTTATTTATAATATTAATTTTCAATTTTTCATCTAATCTGATTTTTAGATTCAAAACAGAAAATTAAATTTTTTTTAGACTAATTATTTTAGGAAATTAATAATAATTATTCAATTAATTTTTAAACAGGGAAACTACATTAAATTGTTCAAAAAATTGAATTTTTTTTTGCATAAATAGTCAGTTTATGTATTCAAAAGTAGGCTGAAAAAGTTTTCAGAGCGAAATTCGATGTCCTCTCTGTGCTACAGGCGTTACATTGCACCTTGTACAGCAATCGTAAACCCAAACGTTGCAGTTCAAGGTTAAATGGCTGCTAATTTCGAATGTTTTTAATGAAAATGCTTTAAAAAATTGTGAGATACAGATAATTATGTGTGCAACATAATGTTATTCTTGCATTTCATTAATAAAAATTTATCCCTCACGGAGAAAAATGAGATTGTAGTGCAAACAATTTTTGGATTGCTGTCAGTATAGATTTGTTGATATTACAATTCGGATTGTTGTCAATACAAATGTATGTTGTTTTAACAACAATACGAATTTTTTGTTGTCAGCTTTGTTCAGTTTGCAATTCCGTATAGTTGCAGAAGCAAACTTTCTGTCGATTGCTGATGGAACAATCCGGATTTGTTCAGCGGAAAGGTTTATTGTTCCATGTCACGTGCTCATCTTGAATTTTCGCAAACTGGAGTGCAGATCGTCGCGTCCTTTGCTTCTGGCACATGTGCCACTTTTGCTTTTATTGTTAGTTTCTTTAAAAAAAATGACAAAGTGCTGTTAAATAATGAATCCGGTTAAAGTGAAAAATCTATTGCAAGTGTGGTGAATGGTTGAAGAGACAATATTTTCATCGTTTATTGGTAAGTTATACTCGGTTACTATTGAACATAACTTCACTTTAATAAATATAAAATGTATATTCAATATTATTTAAAAACAAATTTCAACTCAAAATAATTTTTTGGTTTCAGGTCAAAGAATTTGATTCAAAAGCTGCATGTTCTACAGATTTTAATGCAAATGAAACTGGTGATATAATGACCTACGGAAATCTGCTATCGATTATTTTAGAAGGCAAAGAAACTGAACAAATTGTATTAGACGGATCAAAGCTTTGTTAATACAACAAATTGTATTGTCCATTTAACAATTTAGTTTTGTTATTTTAACTGTTCCATAACAATTTTCTTTGTTCATCAAATAATTCTGTTTGTTCACCGAACAATCCGAATAGTTTTAATAGCAATCCCATTTTAACAATTTTTTTTGTCCCAAAGACCCAAAAACAAATAGAACTGCTGGTTCTATTTTGACAATCTGGAATTGTTGTGTGGACTTCATTTTTAGTAACCACAACAATTCTTTTTTCTCCGTCCTTTAAAAAAAATTTCGAAAAACGGCTAAAACATAGCGTCCTAATGTGGTCTTCTCCCTTAAAAATCTTTATAAGTTGGGGATAAATTTCGAAATAAATCAGAAATCGTAGCTTTTTTAAACTTACATTTAAATTAACTTCATTTAATGTATAGTTTCCATATTGATTAATAAGGCATTGAATCCTTGAACGAAAATTTTCTCTGCTTTCCGGCTCCCACCAATTGTCGAGATTTCTCAGACTATCAAAACTGTCAAAACCGTGAGTACATTCGTGTCCAATGTAAAATCCGATTGCTCCATAATTCATGTACTGAGGTATGTTTTCATTAAAGAAAACTCCTTGAAAAATACCGGGTGGTAAAGCTAAAACGAAACAAGAAATGAATTAGTCGAATTAATGAAGTGGACCACTGTCTTCATGAATGGACCATCTAATGTTTTCATTATATTTACATATTTACTACTTGCACCCGTATAAATCGTGACTGAAATTTATTTTAAGTGATTTTTTTATGTGTTTCAGAAATATTTTGTCCTAATTTTAGATAAAATTAAAAAATATCTCAAAAAGCGAAAATACAAACCAATACTATTATCATCATAAATGAATATTGTATTCACTATCATTGGATTGAACAGTAGATACCAACTGTTTGTATTTAAAGATTTTCTAAATAAATCTACAGCTTTATTTCTGTTAAATTTTTGTATGTCAATTATTAATTGAAGATAATTATTTGGCGTTATATTCAACTTTGCGTAATATTCATCAATTTCCATGTCATCAAATAATTTGTAAATTACTGGATGTGTTATAGACAATGATGCAAGTTTCTCTAAAGCCTTTTCCTTTATTTTATCATCCAGCCAATAACTCTAAATAGATTTACTAAATTAATATTTTTGAAGCTGTAGATTTTGCAATAATTAATAATGCATTATAATAATTGTAAAATATACATGTTTTTTTGTTTGTTAATAGCATAAAAAATTTCTCAAATAGTAAATTCTTGTTCCAATACAGAAAAATTTTGTAATTCTACATCAAGAAAATAATATTCTAATTCTTACCTCATTTAGAAGAGTATTGAACTGCTGAACAATATTTTCCAACATTTCGTCGATATCTTTTTTCCCAGATTCTGATAAATTGAAGTAGTATTTGACATAGAGCATTCCAAGACTATTAGGGAAAAAATTATCTACAGTATAGTAACAATGTTTCCATTTCTGCGGATTGTCTTCACTAGCGCCAACATAATTACTAAGAAGATCGTTAATTGCTTTCCATATAACATAATTTGCTTGATCTTTTTTTGAGATCTGATTAATTAGATTGTTCAATTGATGAAAGTAGCTTAGATCCACAACAAATATAATATCATCATCTCTGATATTAGTAACTGGGTTCAAAATAGAATCAATGTATTCTCTCCACAAAATATTAGAATAATTTCCATTGAGTTCTTTAAAAGTCATACCAATACAATTATTATAATTTCTATCTCTCGTTGGCACAGTTATCTGTAAATAATCAGATGTTTAAAAATTTATTAAATTTGAAACGTATCTTGCAAACTGATAATAATTTATCTAAAAAGAAGAAATCTTTTTTTAATCAACATTTAACAATTAGTTTTTAATGAATACTTACATTAATAAGCATTTTTTCTATTTCGATAATTTTATCTATATCAGTTTTAATATTATCATTTTTAGCTCCAAAAAGATGTACAGTGTCATTTATTTTATTATAATATTTAGGGGATAAATTAAGATTTGTTGGTGGTTCAATCTAAAATAATAGCATTAATAAATTATAAACAAAAATTTAAGGCTCAATTTTTTGGAAGAAACATATAATCACTTTACATACTTTTAGGATTAAGGTTGTATGATTTTTTACATCTGGAACAAAATGTGAAGAAATGAAATTATCTTTGAAACTGTCCAATAGGAAGCCAAATTTTTCCCATTGGAAATTCACATTATTCCAAGAATTTCCTTCTAAAAGTGGCCATCCACCAATTTTTTTTAACAAGTCCAAAATTAAATTTAGATTTTGTTGTTCGATTTTATCTGCAAGCGATTAATAAATTAAATCGTCTGCCAAGTTTTTTTCTGCACAATTATGATATTAATCATTTAAATTTAGTTTTTTGATTTTAGCTGCATGATTTACACAATTGGTAAAATTTAAAAATGTAACGGGGTTTTAACAAATGTCTTACTTGCATTCATACATTCTCTATAAAAAGCTTTTATTAATCTTGCATAGTTTGGTTCAGTAGGTTCGTCATTCTTCTCTAGAATTGTCTTCATTTCTTGATCAATTTTATTCTCAAGAAGGGAAAAACTATCGATTATATCCGATTCGTAATTTGAAATCCTCCTCGATTTTGGAAAGTTACCGCAGGCAAATTTATAAAAATTGTCGCAAGGATCAAAACCTTTGTCCATGTACTCTAATACTCTTGAGGCTACTCAAAAAGTTAAAACTTCTGTTAATTGTTTTAATTTTTTGATGACGCAATAACATAATAATCAAAATATTCTATTTACTCTATATATAATTATAAGAAAATCATACCAACCTGTGTCAAGGCATTCAGGTTTCAAACAGTAATCTTTTCTGTTATCCGATGCTTTTGGAACAGTTTTCATAATTAAAGTTTAGTTTAATTACAATTTTATTTTGACTTAAAGAATAATTTTATTATATATGATTTTGAGATATAAAGCGTGAAAATGGACTATAAATCAATTTTAAAAGAATATGCCATACGTGAAAAACGAACTATGGGAAAAAGCTAATAAAAGCTGGCAAAAGATGGGAGAAGATTTTCGCCATTGTTTTTAAGTTTTATCCCATACCTACTTTAAAGAATTGCAAAAAGCTGACAAACCATTGCTTATGAGTCTTTCCCATACTTTTCTTTAATATCATATAACATTGCTAAAATCTTGCCAAAGTATTGCAAAAAAAAGGGGAATAAAATAAAGTCAATTTTTTCTAACTTACTTCTTATTTTTTTCATTTTTTTTCTTAAAATCATTGCAAAACAATGGGAAAAAGATTAAGAAAGAAAAAATTTATTTTTCTCATTTTTTCATCTTTAAAAATTAGATTTTTAAAGTATTGCTAAAACCTGGCAAAAATATACGAACAAAATTAATCAATTTTTCTCGTTATTTTAGCTTTAAAAATCTGATTTTTGAAGTATTATTGCAAAAATATGGGAAAAAGATTGTGAAAGGAAAAATAAATTTTTCTCATTTTTTCAAATTTAAAAATTAGATTTTCAAAGTATTGTTAATATATGGGAAAAAGATTGGTAGAGAAAAAATGAATTTTTATCGTTTTTTCAGCTTTAAACATTTGAATTTTAAAGTATTACAAAAATATCGGAAAAAGATTGGAAAGAAAAAATATATATTTCTGCAATACTTTAAAAATCAAAATTTCAAAGTTGGAAAATAGAGGAAAATTGATTTTTCCTTACAACATCTTTTTCCCATATTTTTGCAATACTTTAAAAATCAAATTTTTGAAGTTGAAAAAATGATAAAAATTGTTTTTTTCTTTCCAATCTTTTTCCGATATTTTTGTAATACTTTAAAATTCAAATGTTTAAAGCTGAAAAAACGATAAAAATTCATTTTTTCTCTACCAATCTTTTTCCCATATATTAACAATACTTTGAAAATCTAATTTTTAAATTTGAAAAAATGAGAAAAATTGATTTTTCCTTTCACAATCTTTTTCCCATAATTTTGCAATACTTTAAAAATCAAATTTTTAATGTTGAAAAATAGAGGAAAATTGATTTTTCCTTTCAAAATCTTTTTCCCATATTTTTGCAATAATACTTCAAAAATCAGATTTTTAAAGCTAAAATAACGAGAAAAATTGATTAATTTTGTTCGTATATTTTTGCCAGGTTTTAGCAATACTTTAACAATCTAATTTTTAAAGATAAAAAAATGAGAAAAATAAATTTTTTCTTTCTTAATCTTTTTCCCATTGTTTTGCAATGATTTTAAGAAAAAAAATGAAAAAAATAAGAAGTAAGTTAGAAAATAGACTTTATTTTATTCCCCTTTTTTTTGCAATACTTTGGCAAGATTTTAGCAATGTTATATGATATTAAAGAAAAGTATGGGAAAGACTCATAAGCAATGGTTTGTCAGCTTTTTGCAATTCTTTAAAATATGGGATAAAACTTAAAAACAATGGCGAAAATCTTCTCCCATCTTTTGCCAGCTTTTGATAGCTTTTTCCCATAGTTCGTTTTTCACGCGGGTGTATATAATATGGAAATAATCTTATAGTGAAAATCGATTAAAATCGATTGAAATCAATAGAAAACGGTTAAAACAAATTTTCTATCGAGGTCAATCGTGTTTCTTAATTTAAAAAGGAAACTTGTATTCCAAATAAAATAATTTAATTTTTTTAGTTAGGAAAATTTAATTTTAGAAAAAACTTACTTTTTTTAAGAGTATGTGCTTCTGGTAGACATATAAGAAGTGCAAAGCAGAATGTTGTTAGTTCTAGTTTTAAATCTAGTGCTCTTCTCCATCTAGTGTTTCTTTTTAAAATAAGAATTTCATTTATTTATATCTTTAGCTTAATTCGTATTAAAAAAAATACATTACAAACATTTTCAATTGTCGGCAATTAAAATACTTTCCGTATTATAATCGAATATTTAATTTAGTTCCCTAAAATTTTATTTTTTCGCCATTGACATGAAAAAGTGTATTTTTTGTGCCTGTTTTGGGCAGATAAAGTAGCACTTTTTAAGGCAGTTTGGGCCAACTGCCTAAAAAAGACTTTTTTAGGCATAAAACTGCCCTATCCCTAGTAGAAATTTGTCGTGGATGCACTAGATTGACTCAAGTTACTTGACAGTTTTTCTCGCGGACGCTGATTCTAGCTGAACTGATAAATAACTGTGAAGTTACTGATCAGTGCTTTTTGAAAGAAATTCAAGTTGAACTTGATAATTCCACGACTCAAAGCTATCCAGTTTTTTTAATGGCACTGTCCAGTGCTGCTCGAAATTAAATTCATATCCTTGTCATGGCGGTGGCGCTTCAATAAGTCTAGTAACTGGACAGCTATGCTAGGATTTTGTGTATTGACATTTCGCTTGCTTGATTTAAAAAAATTACAACTTGTTTATAAAAATTAATAATAATAATATTAATATTCCTTTCTCAAAAAAAGACAGTGCATACAAAACACATGAAAATGTATCGAAATATCTCGGTGGTCGAAAAAATTGAATTTAAGAAAAAATGAACTTTGCTTTCCAGAGCATCTAAATCAATATTCATTTTATGAAAATCACTGTAAATTATTGTTCCACATATATATTTTTTGCATAACTTATCTTATTGCAATAAATATACACTTGCAAAATATTATTTGTTGTAAATGTTTGCCAGCTGTCATGAATCAGAAACGAACATAACCTATATTTAGTTGAAATCACTTGATTGGCCCAAGACAAAATAGCGCGCGCTTTTTTAAAATAATAAAATTTATTAAATTATAATAAAATAATTGCAATAAATTAAATTATTATGAAAATAATATTACCTTGAATAAAAAGTGTTTTTAGTTTTTAAAAAAAAATGATTAAACAATTATTATTATTTTCAGACAAATTTTACAAATATAGTAGAATATTATTTTTCTGTTTGAGTATATTATAATAATATAATAATAATAATAATAATAATAATAATAATAATAATAATATTATATTATATCAATAATTATTAATTTATTAAAATAATTTTATTTATAAAATTTTACATATAATTTTTGAGGATAATAAATAAAAAAAATTAGTAATTAGTTTTTTATAATTGTCTAATGTTTAAATTAAATTATAAGTAAATCATTTAAAATCAAATAAACATCTAAAATGTTTATTTGCCTAGAAAATAATAAAAATAATATGCACAAATTCATAATATTATTAGGTACAGTGAAATACGTCAAGCATTTATTCTAATATCACTGATCAGAACGGCCGAGTTGCGTAAAGCGTGCGTTTCTTTCGTTCCCGCCCAGCGGACCCGTGTTCGCTCCCCGGTAGCCCCAAGATTTTTTCGTTGAAACTGCGAGAAGTGTTTTAAGGTTTATGTTATGACATTTATATTAATATAAAAATTATAATTGTTTCAGTGTTGTTAACAGTTCAGGTCAAGATGTTGCTTCAATCGTTTTACTTATGTAAATTTTTTTTTTAAATCCAGTTTAATTGTGAATGAAAAATTACATTTTTATAACGAATTACTATATTTAGTGCAATATATTTTCTTATAATAATTTTTGTTGATAATTGGAATATTTTTTTTAATTACATAAAATAAACGTGTTTACTACATTAAATCTTATTATTAAATGAATTTCGAAATATTTAAAAGAATTAATTTGACTAGTTTTTCAAAAGTCCTATTGATAAATAATTATCAAGTTGGGCTGGATAATAACTTGATGAAAAAAGCGTGACATGACATTCGAGTTTTTAGCTAGCTGGTCAGTCAAGTAACTAGACAGACTCCAGCGCGACTAGGCAGTTCCTTTAAAATAGCTAGGACAAATTTCTACTAGGGATAAAGTCTTTTTTAGGCAGTAAACTGCCCTATAAAGTCTTTTTTAGGCAGTTGTTAATTTTTGCATAATTTTTGTAATAATATATAATATATTATATATATATATATATTTCTTTAAAATTGTTTCACTTTTTCATAACAATGGCGAAAAGAATAGCGTATGTGGCTCGCACGTAGTAATTTTTAGGTTCGGATGATTTCAATACTCGCTGTCTGTGCGACTTCGATTCGACTTGTCTCACCTACGTCGCACTAACGACAGCTCGTACTGAAAATTACATCCTCACCTAAAAAGTACTACTTTACGTGCTTGCCACATAATATACTATTAATGGAGTGTTTAACTTAGTAAATTTTTCTATTATTGTATTATTTTTTGTTTCATTTTTCTAAATTAAGCCTTAAATAGGTAATTTAGTTGCAAACATTTAAAATAGAATTCCACAAATTTTGACTTCATGTTAGCTTTAATCGATTTCGTAAATTCGTTTAAATATATTTTTTTTGTCCTTTACAGACAAGAAAGTTTCAATTTTCCTAAAATTTTTAAATAATAACAAAAAAAGGTTTTTTCTGCAATTTAACCCTTTCGTGCCCATGGGACATATATGTCCCACCTACAAAAACCTCCAGAACTCTAAACAGATTAAATATTTTTTATTCAAACTTGGTGCATTTTTTTCAGGAAGGATAGAGCTTTCAAAAAATGGAACTCACATTTTGTTTAAAAATTTATATTGTTCAGCAAAAAATATAAATAATTATGAAAAATGACGAATTTTTAAAACATTTTAGATTCGCTTGAAACTGGTTACTCGGGGGTTTTTGGGGTCGCTGAATACGAATCCGGTGTTAGTTTTTCAAAATTCAAAATGGCGGATCCAATATGGCGGACGAAAAAATTAAAATTGTTCGGATTTGCTTGAAAATTGTCACTCGGGGGTTTTCGGGGTCGCTGATTACGAATCCGATACTAGTTTTTCAAAATTCAAAATGGCGGATCCAATATGGCGGACGAAAAAATTAAAATTGTTCGGATTTGCTTGAAAATTGTCACTGGGGGGTTTTCGGGGTCGCTGATTACGAATTTGGTATTAGTTTTCAAAAATTAAATCTTAAATCCAATGTTGCAGATCAATTTTTAATAATCGTTAACAATCGATTGAAACTAATTTAAATTAAACAAATTAAAATAAGTTAAAAGTATAACAGCAATAGAAGTTTATTTTTTTATGTCTGTAACGGCCTTCCACACCACCCTTGAGGTTCCGCAAAAAGTGCGTTGGATTTTTTTTGTTAATAACTTTTAAAAATACGTCCATCACATTGCATCCGTCATTTTGAAAAACTAATATCGGATTCGTAATCAGCGACCCCGAAAACCCCCGAGTAACCATTTTCATGCGAATCCAAACAATTTTGATTTTTCATCCGCCATATTGGATCCGCCATTTTGAATTTTGAGAAACTAATACCAAATTCGTAATCAGCGACCCCGAAAACCCCCCAGTGACCATTTTCAAGCGAATCCGAACAATTTTGATTTTTCGTCCGCCATATAGGATCCGCCATTTTGAATTTTGAAAAACTAGTATCGGATTCGTAATCAGCGACCCCGAAAACCCCCGAGTGACAATTTTCAAGCAAATCCGAACAATTTTAATTTTTTCGTCCGCCACATTGGATCCGCCATTTTGAATTTTGAGAAACTAATATCGGATTCGTAATCAGCGACCCCGAAAACCCCCGAGTGACCATTTTTAAGCGAATCCGAACAATTTTTATTTTTCGTCCGCCATATTGGATTCGCCATTTTGAATTTTGAGAAACTAATATCGGATTCGTAATCAGCGACCCCGAAAATCCGCGTGTAACCATTTTCAAGCGAATCCAAACAATTTTGATTTTTCGTCCGCCATATTGGATCCGCCATTTTGAATTTTGAAAAACTAATATCGGATTCGTAATCAGCGACCCCGAAAACCCCCGAGTGACAATTTTCAAGCGAATCCGAACAATTTTTATTTTTTCGTCCGCCATATTGAATCCGCCATTTTGAATTTTCAAAAACTAACACCAGATTCGTAATCAGCGACCCCAAAAACTATAGGAACCACTTTAGTTTCGTTTTTTTATATGCTCAGTTTTGCCTGGGCACGAAGGGGTTAAAAAAACAATTTACAAGATTTTTAATTGTTTACAAACTAATATGTAATATAATAAAATATAATCTATAATATTTCTTACATGAACTGAAATAAATAATAAATAAATATTGCATAGCTTACTTCATAAAGTTTTTCTGCTCGTTGTTCAACATTTTGACACTTTCACAAAAGTACTGTGTATACCTTTTAAAAATTTGTCTATTTAAGTATTATATAAACTGAATATTCTTTTTTTAAAAGTGTGTTTTGCTTTGCTTTTTCGAAAAAGAAATTTTTTCTTTGAATGATTTTTTTTAACCTAAAGAAAAATTTCTTTGAATCAAAGAAATATTACTTCTGAATGATTTACGTGTGATATGTAAAATGTGCAAATATATATATATATATTGACTCGCAGTGTATTGATTGTTTTCTTCGTGATCAATTCTATAAATTAATACTACACCTCAATTTTATTATAATAATTTTTTTAATCCGAAAAAATAACATTTTTAATAAAATCTAATAAATATTTTTAACAAAAGATTTATATTATTTATTTGAAAAATTAATTTGAGCTCGAAGCGAGGTTGTGTTGAGGACGAGAAATAAATAAAGACTGATTGGAAAATGGTGACCGCTTTTCAAAGCGTCGCTTGGGAAAAGAGAAAAAAGATAAAATTAAGGAAAAATTATTCTAGTTAGAAAAGGATAAAACGGTGTAAAAAGAGAGGGTAAGGAGAGTACAGAGTACATTGCTGGGCCATTTGAACGGTCCGATATTTATGATATGGTCAGCTGTAGATACAAGGGTGAGCATGATCGCCAGGCCACCAAGAGAGCTCAATTTAAGAAACATTTTAAATATTGAAAAGTTACATTACATGGAGAAAAAAATAATCCTGAGCCCAACAAACATTACAGGAAATTACAAAAATATTAGCAAGTGTAATACATTGTGTGTATGTGTGTGTGTAGTTGTGTACATGTTTGTGTAATTTTAAATTTTGTATACTATATAAAATAGAATTTATAAAGTTCAAAAAATGAAAATACACTTACAGACGCCACATGTTAAAAATTTTAAAGCAATAAAGAGGCACGTGTAAAAAACTGAATCCTTAAAAAAATATCGGATTGTCGTCCAATAATAAAAATTTATCATTGAACAACTTTGAATATAAAAAAATCAATAAAATTTAGTTTGACAAACGGGACGCATAACGAAGCTCTAAAACAAAATTTTGAGAATTATGATTAGTTAAAATCTTATTCTGTAAAATATGTATTACTTTTGATAAGAAAAAGCGTGACATGACATTCGAGTTGTCAGCGAGCTGACTAGTAAAGTAACTAAACAAATTCAAGCACGATTGGACAGTTCTTTTATTATAGCGAGGACAAATTTCTACTAGGGTAACTTATTATAATCTGAAACTTTTGAGAAAAAATTTTAAAAAACCTTCAATTTAAGGTTGCAAAAATTTACAAGACTTATTATTATATACCCAATCAAAAATTTACTAATGGCGCAGTACTGGCACCCAGTATTGGCGCCAGAGTTGGCGTAACTTTGGAATGATAACATTTTACCAGTATTGGCTACCAGAGTTGGCACCAGTACTGGTAACCACTTCTGGTTCAGTACTGGCCGAGTACTGGCAGTTTTGTAATTTATTGTATACGAAAAGAAAGCTTTAACCGTGACAGAGATAAGTTTCACTCCAGGTAATACTTTTTGGTATGTTTAGGAAAAAGTGTCTGAAATTTTTAATAACCCAAGACAAATTAAATATTAATTAAATTAGTCAACTAACTAATTAATATTTTATTATATAAAATCGAAAACACCAAGAATTTTCATTCCTTCTTATAATATATATTGCAAATTATTATTTAAAAAATCAAAAAATAAATATAAAAATATGTTTATTATAAAACCAAAGTTTTTATAATATATAAAAACAGTTCAGTAAAAATAAAAATGTTTACAAAATAATGATAATGTATATAATTATGCAATTAACTATTTAATTATTTTATTATTCACATTAATTTATTAATTATTATATCAAATATAAATAAATTAACATTGAATTCAATTCAATTTACATAAAACAAAATTAGTTTACAAATTAACTCATCACAAATATAATGATTTAATAAATAATGAATACTAAACTGAAATTAGGTAATTATTAAAAAAATTATCTAAATTATTTTTAAATTAACATTAAATTTTTGTTTATAATTCACTTTTGGAAAAAACTGAAGAATAACATCCAGAAACAAATTACAAAATAAAAAGAAAATCTTGCAAAATGTTTTAGACTTAGTCTCAGGAAACTTTTTGTTTAAATAATTTTACCCACAGAAAAGCAAAATAATGTACATTTTAATTTTGAAAAATAAAATCAAGTTGAAAAAATTTTGATGAACAAAATATTTAAACAAAATGATTCATCGGGTTCACTCTAAAACTTTTTGTAAACTAGTATTAATCAAAAAGAAAATCTATTTGAGCCAGTACTGGCTCAATATCGGCTCAGTACTGGTTAGCCAGTACTGGGAGGGTGGTACCGCACCAGTACTGATACACTGAAAGAAATTTTTCGTAATTACTGCCATAATTCTTCCTGTTTCTGTCATATCGTATAACTGAATTAACATTGGCACTGTTACTGCCATACAGTTTGGGTAATCCAACCAAACGAATAGTACTTCCAAAGAGCAAGATGTCTGAATCAGACTTCACATGGCTAATATAACCTAACTTACCTGCCAATTTGACAGACTATATAACCAATTCAACCAGAAATCTCAACCATAAGTTTATGGCTGAAATTTCGATAGCATTTCATTCCGTGTACAATGTAAATACCAGTACTGGTTCAGTACAGACTGCCCAGCCTCGGGAGCCAAAACTCAACCAGTACCGCGCCAGTAGTCAACTCTGGTATAATACTGAAATTTTTGGTTGGGTAAGGATAGGTCAAAGTCGATGCGATTTTCCCATTGAAGCTCTATGTAAAAATTGCATCGACTTTGACATATAATAATCGATTATTTAGATGAAATAAATTTTTTTTTCATTGTATCTTTTGCAGAAAGTCGGAAGTAAACATTTTTCTGAACTTATATTCCAATGATGATGTTCTAACAACCGGAACGTTTAGGGAACAAATTGAATGGGGAATTAGGGGTTGCTTTCATCTTTCAATTTTTCCTTTCAATTATAGTCCCCAAAGTCATTTGTTACTTGTATCACGTGGAATTAAGAATAGTACATTTTTAGTATACAAATACAAACACATAAACATATAGTGTCCGTTGATTTACAGTATAGCAAGTACTCAGTGGGCGCTATACCATACAGACGGAAACAGAGAATGATTCATTCTAACGTTAATGCAGTTTCAGTTGAAATGGAGGAGAGTATATATATGTATATATATATACAGTATATGCTAAAACAGTCTTTAAGATTTGTGAGTCTACCTTGAGCGACATATAATTCAAAAGTTACATATGTGCACATTAGTGCACTTATGTATATATATATATATATATATATATATATATATACAATGTAACATAATTTTAAAAAGTAAACCTTCCTTGAATTTTTAATTGTTTTTTTTTGTTTCTTTTTATCATATCATGGAGACAAAGAAATGCACATTCATTCTCATTCTGATTTTTCCCACCAAACATATAGAGAACGATCTTTTCCCACAGGTGAAACTTTATGAATCTCCCCACATATCTCCCTGCATGTGTGTCAGGACCAGCATTCATCAATGTTGTGTGCACCCCTCTTAGAGGATTGCAATTGTTTGACAGAACCCAGTGTGATATCAAGTTTTTCAACAGAAGGAACTTATATATAAATTTTTATGTGCGTATTTCGGTTTAAGTTTTTTTAAAATGATTTAATTTTTCTAATAAAAATGTTTTAAATATTTTTTTAAGAGAATTTTGACAATTGAAAATAACTTTGAAGAGACAAAGCATTATAAAAAATGATCATTGTATTTATTTGTTAGTTGTTGATGGAACACACATTTACTTAAAATAATTGAAAGAAAATAAACAAGCACTACATTGTCTGCGTTGACACATAGAATATTTCATGTTCACTTGTTACACAATCTAAGGGTTTTAAGAATCGGTTATTTATTTTTCATCTTGTAAATCCTAATGCTTTAACTAATATAAAAATAATTACCGCCTACCGGGGTTATTATCGTACTATAATATTTTTGCAAATTAAAAACTAGCGTGTAACATAATATTTCATTTTAATTCTTCCAAACCATTTATTTTATTTTTCAACGTATCACTATATATATATATATATATATATAAATGATAAGATTAACCCATTTCGTCCGAGAAGTCCGTTTTTCTTCCTCCTAATTTGCTCTCGCCATTTTCAAAATTCATGGACTAAAAAAAATTGTCAGTAGGTGTTTCTTATGTATTTTTTAGTCCTCTTTCAGAATCTATAAGAAAATTTAACTTTTGACTTAAGGATAAACAGTTATGATTGTTTAAACAAAAAAAAATCTGCCTGCTCCCCCTTCGGGGTAGCGGACACATTCTCATCCGCGCTTCGCGCGGAGGGGCTCGCTGCGCTCGCGGGTTTGGACGCGCCTTGAGGCGCGAAGAGCACTCCGTCGCGCTACGCGCTCCAAATGTTATGCTGACTCTACATTTAATATTATATTATAATATTTTAATATAAAAATTATATACAATAATTTTATTATTATTATATAGGATTAATTTTCTTAAAGTTCTTCGACTTTAAGGAGAACATTCTCATCATGGCACTCGCGTTTCACGCTCGAATGTATGATGCGGAATTAGAAGTGTTTTTGAGTATTTGGATTTTTTATTATTTAAATATATGAAACATTTGAGCAAACGAATACATTTAAGGGGTTAGTATCTCATCTCCACTATTTTTTTCAAATAGTTTTTTTAATTAAACAATTTATTTTATTTACTTCAAGCTTGTTATACATAAAAGTAAGGGTTATATATACTATTCCCAGTTGAAAAATCTTGTACAATATCATGTACATTTTTTTGTTCAAGTTCAAGTACTTGCACATTCGCGTGATCTTGTACAAGAGCAGAAAACGAACCTGTCAAAAGAATTGGAACAAAGTACATAAACCTGTACAGGTACATGCAAGTGTATTTGTTTGCGACTTTGTGACTGTTGTGTGTGCAAAATTGCAAATCTATTTGTTTCGATTTATAAAAGTTATTTTGTCAACAACACTTTATGTCTACATAAATACATACATACATACATACATACATACATACATACATACATACATACATACAGACAGACAGACACTTTCGCCGGACCATGTTTTTTCGACTCAGGGCACCTCAAAATGTAAAGATTTCATGGAAATAGTAAAAGTCAATTTTCGACCAATTATAATACCTTCTCATGTGATGAGAATGTACAAATAATTGCTTTTTTCATTAAAATCTTAAAAACGTAAAGAGATAGAGAATAATGTTTAATGGCAAAGTTGTAGCTGATAAAATTTTGAAGAAAAAAGTCTCTGGGGTCATTATGCCAAAATGAATACATTACAAGATAATTGAGTCAGAAATTCTGATTTTTGTGTAAAAAAATATAAATAATATGTATATAGAGTGGTTTTTTTCTAAATTGATATTTTTTTCACTTGTATCATATTTTCTGAGTCTATTATGATGAGAATGTGTCTATTTTATGGGCTGATTTTTTTCAACCCATTAATAAAATTTAATTTTTCATAAAAAATGTCTTTTTTGGCGTTTTTTAGGTGTTTTTCGAAGATTAAACCACTGTAACTTTTACAATTTTAATTTAATCAAAAAATTTTATTTAAAAAAAATGTTTTCTTTTTCCTGGACTGTAATGCTGTGTAGTGAAAAAAATTTTTAAAAAAAAAATTAAATTTCAAAATTTTGAAAATCCCGCAGTTTTTGCATTTTTTGATGAAAATGGCTGGCTAACGAACTTAACCTGTATTTTGATACTAACTTTGTGTATGCAAAATTGCAAAACGATTTGTTTCGATTTACAAAAGTTATTGTGTCAACAACATTTTGTGTCTACATACGTACATACATACATACATACATACATACATACATACATACATACATACATACATACATACATACATACATACATACATACATACATACAGACACACAGACAGACACTTTCGCCGGACCATGTTTTTTCGACTCAGGGCACCTCAAAACTTAAAGATTTCATGGAAATAGTAAAAGTCAATTTTCGACCAATTATAATACCTTCTCATGTGATGAGAATGTAAAAAGACGGATTTTTTTGGTTTTTTTCCCATTAAAACTATATTTTTGATTCGAAATCGCGTCAGAAAAAATTTGGAATGGCAAAATATCGCGTCCAAAATGTCTGCCCTTTCATTTGGTGATGATAAGAAATTTTTATTTTCGCACTGAGAAAAATAATAATGTAATGTTAACAAAATAATTTGGTGGAGCACTTTTAGTTAAGATTACAAAAATTTAGTTGACATAACAGTAACGAAAGAAGCAATCAATCGAGAAATTTAGTTGGCTGTACCAAAAATTTCGTTCAAGCTTTTGCGTCTGTTAACTGAATAATTTGGTTCTCCAAACCAAACCGTCTGAATGCTCAATTGCGCATGCGCTGTTCTCGTAAATATGTCACACGTTAACCA